GGTGAGGGGACCAAAGGCCTGGCTTTGGGATTAGGGACGCAGGGAAGCTGAGGTTCTACTGTGTGGAACATTTCAGAAGTCGGCTCGGGTGCTGCAAGGACAGCGAGGCAGGGCCTGGCCCAAGGCCTGAGGTTAAAAGGCATGTTCCCACCACGTGCAGTCGGTAACAACCCTGCACACAGACATGTATGTTTGTTCTTCTGTATGGAAAAATGTAAAAAGATTCCTAATGTAATAACACTACCGAAAAATGGGATTAAAAGTGGTTTTTAAAACTTCTTCTGGCTTTTAGTATTGAATCCTAAATAAAGTTGGTGGATGAAAATTTTAAAAATGTAAAAACTCAAATGGCTTTTAAAAATCTCCCAACCATTACCTTCAATACATACTTCACTTTATAAGCTGACAAATTATCACGTGAGTTTACTTTAGTAATATTATAACCTTATTTCAAGCTTATTTTCCATTAACAGAAAAAAATTGTTTTTATATCCATTACAACTGTTTATACAGTTGAACATATAGAACAATTGAAACCAATTACCCTCACATAAAGAGGTAAGATAGGAATGAATGAGTTATATGAATTTAAAGCAACATTATTAAATCCTCCTTTAAAAAACTATCCTTTGAAAAAAGTAAAAACTTTATTGTGAACCAGCAGGAAGAAAATGTGGTCCAGAGGGTACAGATCATTGTTTCTTAAAATGTGGGCCTTGGACCAGCAGCAACAGCGTCACCTGGGAACTTGTCAGAAACGCACATTCTCAGGCTCTGTGCAACAGGGCTAAAGCCTTTAGGTAATTCTGGTGCAGGAGAAAGTTTGAAGGCCACTGGGATAAAGCAAATCGATTTCAGAACAGGGAAAGAGGTCCAGAGAGCCTGATTTAATTCTGGCAGGCCCAGATTCCTTACCTGAAAACTCTGTGAACGTAACTTGTTTTTAACAAACATACAGAATAAACTATCCTTTGATTGTTTCTGTCATGTTATTATATTTCCATTAGTGTCGAAGTATTATAATAACCCCTTTAAAAAGCAGCAGAATTATATTTAAGGAAGACAATTATTTAAGCCCTAACATTTTCTCATTATAATAGTATGTTTATGGGTAATTGTCTGTTTTTACCTTGTTGTTCATACAACTGTACACTTTCGGAACTTGATCAAACCTGTGAAGAAAAAAAACATGCAATACCATTTATATTTTAGAAAGTTAAACCTAAAATACAGTAACGCAACCATAAAAGTGAGACATGCATGTATAGTGATATAAAAAATTGCCCTAAGACTTTAAAAAAAATGCCAAATTATCAAACATAAAGTATGATACAGACTTATCTTTAAAAAAGGAATGAAAGAAAAATATCTGGAATAAACCTCAAAATATTAATATCAGTTGTTTCTGTACCCTTTTTTAAAAAAAAGGTTATGAATTATTTCTGACGAAGCTTAAGAACTATAAAAAAATTTCCAAAATAATAGATATGAATTTCTATTTTGTTCTTTATGTGTTCCTAAAACTTTCTCTGTGAATTTAATCTATAAAATATAGGTTATATTATGATTGAACAATATGAACTTGTTATAAAAAACACTGATGAATCCTTGCAACTGCTTTTTAAAAGTATGTTATCTGCAATTTTTCAGATTTTTTTAAGGCATTACTTGTTTCACTTAAATGTACATTAATACAAACTTTGGGAGGTAATTCAGAAAATTAAATGTGTGTACCCTTTTGAACCAATAATTTCACTTCTAGGACCTTATTCTGCAGAAAGTAGCAAATGTAGACAATGATTTATGTACAAGTACGTTCAACTGCAATATTGTAAGTTAAGCAGGAAAAGGCTAGGAAAAAAACATTCTGTCCAGCAACAGAAATATAGGTAAGTTTCATGAAACCCTATGCAAACATTAAAAAGAATGAGATTCTTACGTGCATGGTGCAAGCAAGGTGCACATAATATACTTAGTGCATACCATATACTTAATTGCAAAGTAGCATGTCAAATATGCTTTCATATTCATACATTTAATAGGTACGCTTGTTTGTATTAAAAAATGTAAAAAGATATGCACTAAATGGAAAAGGGGGTTGGGCTAGCACATAAAATTAAAAGGCAACTAATTCCTACCTTATATTTATGTACTATTTCAACTATCTTTTTAACAAAAGCATGGTTTAATATATTATCCTCTCCACTAAAATTTAAAAAATTACTATCAGCAAAAAAGTTGACAGGAAAATCACAAAAGTTTGCTACCTAGATCTAAATTATATACATATACTTCAAAGCTATTAAGCCCACATACTTACTTTGAGTTGTCATAAAATAATGCCAGAGGTCTTGTTAAAGTTGCAAATATTTTTCGGATCATAGAAGGCAAAGAAATATGGCCAAGTACATTGGAAAGAATACTGGTGATTGAGTTCCCAACAGCGAGGAGAGTATCAGAATGTGCTTCCTTGAGGCTCAAAGTGTGGAAAGAATACATGACTCTCACAATAAGTTTAAATAAAGAAGCCAATTTTCCCAGGGGTTCCTTCTTCTTTTTGGACCAATCTGAAGGTCTCTTCAGTGCTAAGATAAAATTGAATTTATTAAAAACTCAAGTACTATGAAAAGTATCACTGTCCATCTTTATATCTAACATTTAAATGACAGATAAATCTAATATACTTTCTTCTTTAGTAATACCCACAAATCTTAAAATTATGTACATACCATTAATGGATAAATATCATTATAACATCTTTAAAACAAAAGTTAGAGATAAAAGAAAAAATGAATCTTATTTTCTCTAAGGAAGCATTTCAAATTTTTATTTTATGGTCTCGGAATTACAACAACTAATTTGTAAGAAAGTACTAAATTATATGATAGGTTCCAAAATTAGATGTTAAAAGTCAGTTTACAAAAATAAGAAAAAAAATTGCCTTAGAAACTATTGCTTCTTGGCTCATCTATATAGTACACTGAACCCAGAAATAACACTAAACAAGTTAAGAGATCCAAAAGTTCTAAGAATTAAAAAAGAAAAAGTGGCCTAGATTTAAAGAAAAAACATGTCTCAAAAGCGCTGTCCAACATCCTTTTGTACCCTTCTTAGACTCCATCTCACTTAAGATACCTACCTACAGGGAAAACCAGGTATTTGTCCTCTAAAAAAAACTGAACCCATTCCAAAATTACCTTTGTTTCCCTAACAGAATCTAGTATTTTAAGGTTAGATATGTCAGATTCAAGAGAAATCTATAATTCAGTTCTTGTAAATTAAAAATATCATGTGGTAAAGTAAAAAACAAGTGTTGCTACTAAACGGAAGTCAATATTCCTTCCTAGAAACAGCAATTTCCCAGACATGGGAATATAAATTGGAATGGCTACCCCAAAATTCTTGGCCAGCATGCTGAGGCAAAGAAGACAGTCTGTGAGTCAGGAGATACATACAAGATAATTTTTAAACAGTAAATATATTGAGGGTAATGGGGACTGGGAGTCTCACTATTAGAAAAGGTAGGTAAATAGAGGAAAGGGTAAGACTCAAATATCTAGAGAAACAGGTTAACTGTTTAGTTCATAAACACACCTATTTCTTCCACCTCTGTCCACTGAGATGATCTAGGAGCAGTGATACCTTAGTAGCAATGATCAGATCATATAGTTTCTAAATGCCATTCTCAGCTAAAAGGAACCATGTTCCTTGGAAATATAAATTCTCACTTTGGGAATCATCATAGTGTTTCAGGCAAAAAGCATCAATGAATGATAAACTCATGGCTGTAAGTTTGCTGAGGAACAGGGTATTTAAATATCTCAAAGTATCTGCCACAAAACATTAATTTCTTAATTACAAGTATTTACTAATTTACTTTACAGTGGAAAACTTGGCACATACCATCTAAACATACAGTATAATGTTAACATCACCAGTAATGAACAAACTGGAATTGTGTGCCTGTTGACATAGCACACTGGGGGGAAAAACACACAGCATTACTTCTCTAGTATCATTGTGAGAGAAGGAGAGAATGAGTGCACTTCAATAAGTGTTCCTAACATAGTAACTGATGTGGTTATACAATGTCCAAAGTAGGTAAAATGAGGTGGGGGAAAAGATTAAAATTTGCCATGACAACAATTTAGAGACATGTTTAAAAAAATGTTTAACAAATACAAGTAAAGAAAATACTTACATTTAACTCGGGACTGAATTTTAATATTATATGGTGAGAAATCGATGCAATCAACCACTACAGTAATAATATGAATGATCCTATCCAAGAACAACAAATTCTAGGAAAAAATATTTAAAAGTATTAAAACATTTCAATTACTGACATAGTTCTCAAAACTAGTAAGCATCAACAAAAGTTTTAAGACTTTGACTCCTGTATATAATTTACAATAACATACAAGTCATTGCTTATACCATGTAAACTACATTAAACACAAAGTTACAAACATTTCTCAGTTAAGTGCTGTGTGCCAAGTACTATACTTTTGTTTCTCAAGATACAGAGAAAATTATTCAGCTTTAAGGTGGCCAGAAAACTCAGCATACAAATAAACTGAGAATGGAAGAGCTACATTTATAATAAGATTCTTTATCAAATTCCTCTTGAAAATTTCGTCTTCACTAAACCCTGAGAAAAAAAATCAAAAGGTTGCTAAGCTTCCTCATACCCTTTCCTCCTCCCCCTCCAATCTAACTGAAATAAAAATAAACCCATAAAGTATCTGAAATTTTTCTGGAAATTTATGTAAAGGGGAGGTTAGGTGGGGATGTGGTGACAGGTTTCAGGGGAAAGACTAAAAAAGGAAGGAAATCCCCAGCAAAATGAGTCAAAAAACACCTCAAAAATAGCTTTCCTAGCAGAACCTGAGAAATGGAAGACACATTGAGGGTTCTGGGAAAAGACGTGACAGTTATTATAAAAACAAATGGTTAATTAAAAGACTACTGAAATTAAAGATCTATAAAACGGTTGCACTTTCTTTTTCCTTTAAATGTCCATTACCTTCCATTTGTCCACTTCACTGGACTAATTCAGATGTTTGCCCCCAAAGACAGCCTCCCCCAATGGTGTTAAGGGACAGGAGAAGGAAGGTAGTGCCCCAATTAACCTGTGAAAACCAGTGGAAGGTCAACCCAGATGACAATCTACACACTCATACAGAAAATGTGCTTCCTTGCTCACAATGACAAGGTAAAAGATGCCTGTAACTATACCTTGCTATGAAGCCAGAAAACAGGGACTCTCTTGGATTAGAAAACATATTCCAAATACCAGTATTACTCAATATTAACACCCTTACCACAATCAGGAGAACCACTACTGTGAAGGAATGCTAAATACCAACAGAACTAATCCATGAGGAAGAGCTAATAACAGAAACAGAGGAAACTAATATCCCTGAAAGAGGAAATCACATCCACTTGAACTACTAAATGTAAAGACAAAAACATTATAAAAGTAATGCAAAGGAATGGACACAGAAATATCAAGCTCCCAGAAAGCAGTACCAAAAACAAAATACAGTCCAGCTGGAGTGGCTGTTGGTTGAGAGTCATCCTGTGCACTGAAAGGTTGCCAGTTGGATACGAGGTTGGGGCTCGTACAAAGAAATCTCTCTTTCCCTTCCCCTCTCTAGGCATGTTCTCAGGTGAGGATAAAAAATAAGAAAGCAAAACACAAACATATGTAGAGAAATAATAGGGACACAAGGTAAACCCAAAAGTTCTAAAAAACAAGTAAAATGGTGCTCAAGGTCTATCAAGTATTTGAAAGAATAATGTAAAAAGATGCCAAGACAGACCCTGGTGAACTGTATATATTCCAAACAAAGGGGAAAAGCCCTAAAGCTTTACAGAACAAATAAAAAATTAATATCGAACTGTGTATTTGCAACAGAAGCTATAACAAATTAACTTTACTTCAACATTTTATGATACAAATTTTCTGGGACCTACAAATCACAACTAATGAATTGACTGCATATTGGATAACGCAGTATCAGTCATATAAATATAAGTTTGCTAACAATTAGTCCTTTTTTCTTTTTAAATGTTTTTATTGATTTTAGAGAGGGGGGAGGGGGAGAGGGAGAGACAGAAGCATGAATGATGAGTGAGTCATTGATCGGCTGCCTTCTGCATGCCCTCTAGTGGGGATTGAGCTCAAAACACAGGGCATGTGCCCTGACAGGGACACTACACGACAACCTCCTGATGCATGGGAAGTTTCTCAATAAACCGAGCCACACCAGCCAGGGTCGTCTTGTATCTTAACCCTTTGCGGTTGTATTAAATTTGGACATGGGTGTCGTACTGGTCGGAATTAATTTCCATTGAAAGAGCAGTGATACATAACATGCAAGATTATGAAGGATAAACAAGAGAAATTATGAACTGATACATGAATGACTAGAGTTAAGATTTGTACGGTTCCTTGCTGTGGTGGCTGAGAGTAGACAAACGACCGCAAAAGGTTAAAGAATAAAATATGGTAAAGCAAATCAAGGAAGAAAAACTGGGATATAAGAAACAAGGCCGAGCCCTGCTGGCCGTGGCTCAGTGGTTGAGCGTCGACCTAGGATCCAGGCGATCAGGGTTCGATTCCCGGTCAGGGCATATGCCTGAGTTGAGGGCTCGATCAGTGACTCTCTCATCATTGATGTTTCTCTCTCTCTCTCCCTCTCTTTTCCTCTCTCTGAGGTCAATAGAGATATATTTTGAGAAGAAAAAAAAAAAAAAGAAACAAGGCTGAGCCCTGCATGTGGCTCAGTGGTTGAACATCAACCCAGGAACCAAGAGGTTACAGGTTCAAGGTTCTATTCCCAGTTAGGGCACATGCCTAGGCTGCTGACTCGATCCCCCATCAGGGGCATGCAGGAGGCAGTCAATCGACGATGTGCACAAATGTTATTTCCATTTACTTAAAAATAATCCATTAAATAAAAAGGTCAGTATCAGGATAAACTTACTGAACAATCTTCATCTTCCAAATTGGCCATTATCTTGGAAGAAAGCTCCTCACAACACAAATTCTCTTCTGCAGTTGCCACCAAAGCAGCACAGCGGGCAAATGCTCTATATAATTCTGACCAAGTTCTAAGTAAGGTCTTCATGGTGGCCTACCAGTAAAAATCAAACAAAAAAAAACCACCACCAAAAACTTAAGTATTTATTTACATGTTAAACACCTAATAGAATACATCTTTAACATTTTAATAAACACTAACATTAAATTGTCATAGAAGGAGCTAGTGTAGGGTATTTAAGTTTGCCCCACCCCCCAACAAAGCTCTAATGCCACAATAACAACAGTTAACAAGTGTTAAATGGAACTTCTCTCTTCCTTCTCCATTTTCCTTTCCCCTATATTGATTAAGTCATAAGAAAGTCTTATTTTAGGAAAAACTACTGTAGGAATAAGAGATGAAATGACCTTTTCAGAAAAATGCAAATTCTTTAAGTAAAAATTTCACATTGCCTTACCACTGGAAATTTCTGTACTGAAAAAATGTGATTTATTGGTAAAGTCAATGCACCATAGATGGCACTAAAATTATGTTCTAAGGCATCACCTTGATTCACTTCATTGGTCTGAAACAAGAAAAATTATAAAGAAGTTAGATACACTATCATCTAATTCTAGTGTAATAATCATTAACATCTTACTATGTGTAGTGAACAGAATTATGTCCCTCAATGTTGAGATGTTCAAGAGATGGTAAACTCCTCACACCCATAACCGAATGTGATTTTATTTGGAAACAGGGATTTTGCAGATATTAAAAAAAAAAAAAAAAAGTCAAATAGGATTAGGATCATCCTAATCCTATTTAAATGAGACAGAGAAGATATAATAATGCCAGGTACTGGCTTGAGTAGCCACATTAAAGGCTATTGCGGTATCGCTTAATAAATTCTTTGGAGTCATCACTTCGTTTGAGTCATGGTGAAATATTTCCCAAAGAATAATACCATTTAAAGATTGACAAACCACCAATAGTGACAGAACGTGAGCTCTACACCCTGCCAATATTGCCACATATTTAACTGTAAGGGTTAATCAACTCTCAACATATTACTGATTTAGGTTCTACTATATGACTTCACCAACATGGCTTGATCATGGGAATCCTAATATACAATCTACTCAAGATGAGTTATTATTCCCCATAATAGAAATACTGAAAGAACCTGAGATATATGCATAAAAATTTCTATCATATGTGAGTCTTCTAGGTTTATAACCTCTATTGGAGAAAATAGACTGGGTAAGTCCCTCATAAATTACACTTTCTTGAACAATCAGGCAGAATTCATCTAAAGAGTAGAAAATTAACCAATCCTGCAGGAAAAAATATTTAACACCTACTCAAATGCAAGCTTCTATTCATTTCTCCATATGCTCGAACAAGAAAAAAAATTCTTTAAATTTTGGGGGAAACATAAATATGTAGCAGTTTTATATCATACCTGATTAATCAATTCAGTCAATGGAATGACTATAATACTCCAGATTCTCCAGAGATGCTCCTTGTTTTCCAACTGTTTTGCATTTTGATCAATAACATTTAAAACAGAGTCACTGAAAGCTAGTGGTGAAGTTGGACCAGAAAGAACACAACCTACAAGTGTTTCCAGATTAAGAAAAAACCTGAAGAAAAAATTGCAAACCATGGGTTAACCTGTACTTTTTGACAAAATGCATTAATTACACTGCAACAAAATTCTAAAAATAACTGACAAGGAAACAAGAAATGAATTCCATATCTTATTTTTGATTTTTTACAAAATTTATGATGTATTATGCTAACCCAAAGAACCTCATTCATCACAGTCACCTTTCTAAGATGAACATAAAAAATATTTTCAGTTTAAATTACCTTTCATCTTCTACACCATATCCCAAGAGATTATTGTTGAAAATTAATTGAATTAAGAACAAAGCGGGAGTTCCCTGAAGAAAGATGGAAGATTGCAGTCAATTTTCTTGTTATAAAGAGTATTATCTTCTTGTTACACTTCTTTTCTACAATCAGTTATGTGAAACATGATCCTTTTAAGGTTGAGAAATTTAACATGACATTACTTACGATATGACAAAAAAGATAACAAATGTATTTGAATAGACTGCCCAAAGAAGTAAGCTCTTTATATTTTAATCATATCTGTTCCATGTACACTGAGAAACTGTGAGATTCCAGATATAAAACAGTTCCATTAATAGTGCCATATTTAATTCTTTACATCAATTTATTAATTCATCTATCAATTTTTTCTGTAACATAATCATCAAATCCAAATCTGTATCTCTCAAAATTTTACAATCTAAACCTCATCATTTTAATAAAGGGAAATCATGGAACTTTTTCTTTTTGGCTCGTTTTAATCACATAATTACATTTAAGATACTTGCATTAAGAATATCCATATTAGCAACCTGATATGCCGGTGAACCTAAAACTTTCTGAGGAAGTCCTTTAATTGTAATTTCCATGAGGACCTAAGAAAAATAAAGGTTATATTGTAAGTTATCCATAAAATATAGTACTTTATATAGCAAAAACCTACATAGCATTAACTCTATTTTTAATTTAACAATGTTATGATACTTTCATTTAACACATTAGCTAAAAAACTTCAAGAGGTTATTATGTTCATGTATTAATGAAAATACATTTGCATTAATTTAAAAAGTTCAAATACAGAAATGTAAAAACTAAAATGACAAAGTCATCCTTCATTTCCAGGGATAATCAATGCAAGTTTTGAGTTTATTTTTCTAGACCATCCAAATTTTCAAATAGGTAAGTAAACCAAAAAACCGTATCTTTGAGGTGTGGCTGTCATATTCTTTTACACCATTAGCAATATTATACTGAGATACTATGAAACTAACCTTCTTCACCTGTCTGTGTTGTGGAATTTTCACATCAATGTATGTAGACACAAACCTAACTGTTATATGAACATACAAAATTTATGCAAACATTTTTCTATTAATGGCTCTTGAGGCTATTTCTATCTTTTTGTATTGCAAAAAGAAATTCGTCAATGAATTATGTACTCACTAGTACCAGAAGCAAATATTTATAAGCACTGCTAACTAAAAGCTGAATCTAAGACACGGCTCTCAAATATGACAGAGCCTAGAAAACTGCTGTCCCAAAATATTACTATTCTGATATTAATCTGAACTATATAACTAAAGTGACATAATATAACAAAAAGGGTTGTTAGTAAAATACGCTTCACATATACTCTACTCATTTGAAGCAGATACTAATGATAGCAATAGCATTTGTTAACTCATTTTATTTTGTTCCTGGCCTTTAGTGCTCTCCACCTATCAACACATTTAGTTAGAACATTGTATTCTCTTTACAAAGAGGAAAGAGTAGATAAATCAGCCTACTTCACTCAGCTAATAAACAGGTTGAGATTCAACCTAACCAGCTCCAGAGCCCTTGCTATTAATCACTGTGCTCTACTGCCATAGATACTTCCATAACACATACAGGAAACAGACTCAGAATTTATGTAAGGGTATAGTTTGCTCCATCTGCAGCTTATTTGGGAGAAGATTCACTAATATAAAAAAATGCGTCTAATTACCTTTTTAATTCTCTACTATATAGGATAAAAGAGATGTTTAATATCAAGGTCATTATGTTGGTTAAAAAGATTTCATTTAATGCTCTGGCCAGTGTGGCTCAGTTGGTTGGAGCGTTGTCCTGTACAGTGAAGTGTGGTGGGCTCGATTCCCAGTCAGGGCACATAAGGGGTTGCAGGTTCAATCCCCCCCGGCATATGTGGGAGGCAACCAATCGAAGTTTCTCTCTCACAATGTTTCCACTCTCCCTTCCTTTCTCTAAAATCAATGAAAAACATCCTTGGGTGAGAATTATTTTTAAAAGGGTTCATTTAAAACACAAAAGCTCTACAAGATTACCATATTTTCTTAAGTGTATAAAGTAACAATTAGTGGAGCTTAGCAATCTTGTCATAAAATTAGCGTTCATTTGAGTTTCTTCAATTGAAGTATCATGTCCTTTACCTCATGTTCTCTGTGTAGCTTTTCCTTTTTCTTATCACAATGTAAGATTTTTATAGTTGTTGTTATAGCCATTTACTTTATTCTGGCTTCAAATGACTCTTACATCAATGGAATAGCATTTATCACAGGGCCAAACTCCTGATTAATACTTGATATGTTTTCCCAATTCCTGATCTGTGCAAGTATCTTTGATATAAACTTCAATTCCAGAGCGCAGTTCCAGCATATTGGTAATGTACTTACCAGTGTTTTTGATAGAGGAAATACTTCCGATTTCACTATGGCTTCCAAAGATTTTAATAAGAGGGTCAAAACCTCAGAACCTGGTCTCTCTTTTTTGTTTCCTATGAACAAGAAAGAGGAGGGATGTATTTTTAGGGTTAAAATATACATTTAAGAGAGCTATGAAAATGAATCTTTTACTAAATCAAAAAGGTGCTTTGTGCCCTGGTTGGTGTGGCTCAGTTGGTTGAGTGTCATCCCATGCACTGAGGTTGCTGGTCTAATTTCTGATCAGGACATGTGCCCAGGTCTTGGGCCCGATCCCAGGTAGGGGTCACGCAGGAGGCAGCCGGCGAATTTTTCTCTCTCTCTCCCCCCCTTCCTCTCTCTGTAAAATCAATAAAAACATGTATTTTTTAAGAAGTGCTTTGTTAAATAGTCTGGAAGCTCTACTTCAAAAAATTATTTTAAAATAAATTCTATATATAAAAGTCAAATAATTCACTGAGTGCTATAAAAATCATTTGATTGGTATTATGGTGCTTACCTGATTCAATAACTGACTTCACCAAGTTAATCAGCTCCTTCCAAATAGAACTAACAACTGCATCTGTCAAAATAAAATGGAAAGTTCTTCAGAACAAAGTAGATACGACTATAATGGCACCCCTCATTCTTATACTAAAGAAATTGAGCAATACTTAATTTAGAATATAATTCTCCTTATAATATTCAACTCTGTAATCAGTTCATAAAACACTACCACCTTATTTTTGTTAAAAGCAAAACATGTTTTTGCTTTTTTTAAGGGACTGTATGATATTAACACTGGGTCATGTAACTATGGTTAATTCTTTTCTTTCTTTCCCTTCACCTGTATTTTCTGTATTGAAGATCTTAAAATTTTGAGACAAGAAAAAAACTATGATCAGGATACCTGAAAACCACTAGAAAAAAATTTCCCAAGCCAATTAAATAACAGTTTTATTTATGACATTTCTTCTCTTCATTTGATAAGCTATTGAACACAGGAGTTTAGGTGTAGATGCTGGTGCAACAGAGCCTGGGTTTGAATCACATTTCTACCACTTACTACGTGACTTTGCAGGAGTTATTTACTTCTCAAAACAATGGAGTATCTGCAAAACTGACTAACACAAAAGATTACTGTGAGGATTAAATGAATTATATCTTACAGCACAATCTAGTCAACAGATGACACTATATAAATATTTCCTATTTTATTTTCTTTTTGAAAAATAATTTTTAAAACTTCTCTTATTTACCAGAAGCATCTTTTCCAACTGCAACAAAGCTATCATGAACAGCAGTTATAAGTGTATTCGCATATTTGGAAAAAAAAGAAGAGTTGCTGATTAACGGATGTTCGAGAGGCTCTAGAATAAAAAAGAGACAATTGTGTAAAACAAAGCTTTAGTAATTAAACTTCTCAATATATAAAATTTTAGGTGGTCTGACATGATTTCTATTAAAAAAAACTTATACTTATTTCATAATTACAAAACATTTTTATTAAACTGTATTTGCCTTAAATGCATACTATCTATAAATTTCAGTTCTAAATTCCAATTACACACAATTTTTGCAAATAATATCTACCTAAATTTTAATGCTATTGGTAGATAGGCTCATTTAAAGTTTTTCAGAAACACATGTTAAAAATAAATGAACTAAAACAACTTCAAACTCATTTCTAAAATCATCCCAGTACCAATTGAATTACCCCAATGGACTGTATTCTAAACTGTTTTAATAACTGAAATTATTTTTAAAACAATTAAATACCTAAGCTCAGTACAAGTTTGTTTTCCTTAGCAAAACTCAAAACTTCAGGACCCAACAAAAAATGAAGTATCATTTCAAGTCCTAAAAGTTGAATAGAGGGGATTGTGGCCATTGCACCAAAATTCGAACTCAAGTTCATCCGGGTGGTTACAGAGGCTCCATATGGGGAAGCACCTTTAAAGCAAAAAAATAAGTTATGTAAGCTTAAATTATTTGCCCAAATGAATATATTGGTTACTTCCTTCCAACAAAATGTACCTTCAAATGTAAATAGTGTGTTTCTCAAATAAGAGTTGAAAATTTTTGTTTAAAACCCAGAGAGTTCCAATTAAATAATATTACTAGGTTAAGCACAAGATTAGTGTTACATACCATTTAAATTAATATAATTCTCGGGCACTAATCCATACTGTGAATTATTACTACGCAGGCATTCCTTAAATATAAAAATCTGGCTCAGAACAGCTAACAGAAAATAATAATAGCGAATAATTTTCTTTCAATGTTGTATATGCTAAGCCACATTTCTTACATCTGTTATGATCTGTTGTTTTTAATAATGTCTCTAAAATTCTGGATCTGAAACAAACACAAGAGTCCATAATGCACCTCACATTATATACTGGGAAAAGGCTGATCTTTCCCAACTACAATAATAAGCATTAACACAGAAAACATAATCAATTATATGTAATGGCCCAGCCATCTTGGCTCAGTGGATGAGCATCGACCTATGATCCAGGAGACTGAGGTTCGATTCCTGGTGAGGGCACATGCCCAGGTTGTGGGCTTGATCCCCAGAAGGGGGCATACAGGAGGCAGCCAATCAATGACCCTCTCTCATCACTGATGTTTCTATTTCTCTCCCTTCCTCTCTCTGAAATCAATTTTTTTAAAAAATTTTAAAAAAAGGAAAAAAAAAGAATATGTAATAGACTTTGTGATAGGGGGGCCAAAATTATGAAGTTCCTCCATTTTATGCGAAGAACACTGAACAAAGCCTTCCATCAACGCAATTTTTTAAGAAGATAAAAAACAAGTATGTCTACCTCTTACCTTTGTGTTGAGGGGTCATAGGGTTTAAACCTGCAGAAGTAGCTACACGAGATGAACTGCCCTGAGGTGAAGCATTAGCGTCAATGCTTATTGTGCTTTGAATTAGAGGCACACAAACCTATTGGGGTAATAATAAAAGGATATCTGTAAACTGCATAATTTTCATATCTTTAAAAGAGCCTTGCATAATAGAGTTGAATTTCTTTAGGAAGCAGTCCAAATTCTTTTAATATGTTGAATTTTATGGGCTGTTTCTATGCACAAGCTAAAAACTGAAATTTGGAAAAGTGAAAATTTTTATTAAACTGTATTTTCCCCTAAATGCATACTACCTATAAGTTTCAGTTCTAAATTCTAAATTATACACAAATAGTTTTTGCAAATAACATCTGAGTTTTAATGCTATTGGCAGACAGACTCATTTTAAGCTTTTCAGAAATACATGCTAAAAATATATGAACTAAGACAACTTCAAACTCATTTCTAAGACCATTCCAGCACCAAATCTAGCCAGTGAGAATAAATTATGCCAATGAATGTGTGGGACAACTGGGTAAGGATAGCCTAATAGGACGTTACAATGGTAGAACTTTGAAAAATTATGATCCCAATTACATACTACTATATCAATGTCCAATTTTAATTAGTTCATCTTCTACCAAGTTTAAAAGCCTTAATATATTAAAAACTAAATTTTTTTTTAAACTTGCTAAAAAATTCAAGTATATTTAAAGTCTCCCTTTCCAAGAATACACTCAACTGCTTATCAGATATTTACATAAACTAGGACTACAACTCCAAAAGTAAAATGTACTTGAAAATCCAGGATAAGCAATAAAAAAGATGAAAGTTATCACACCTGTCCTTCTTTACTTAACTATAAAAAAAATTCAGAAACAAAGGATGGGATTAACTGCAAAAACAAAGTACAGATAAGATTAAGCCTGTGTCTAAATGCCCAGAAGGATATCAAAATCTAAAGAAATTTGTAAAATCACTTGCAACAATATTGAAAAGCTATGATGAGATTTAAATGACTGGCTATCACTAAGTAGCCTAGAAAAAGGAAACAAAAAATAAGAATTAATCCAATTTTGTTATCTGCCCAGTACAGGACTTGATTTCAATTTTAGTAATGTTGACTCTACTCACAATTATATCCTAAGCCCTATGAAATTCCTTTTTAAAGATCTTCATGTCTCTAAAAAATAGATATTTGAGTGTTTGCTGATTTAAACGGCTTTAGAGGCTCCATTGCATGCAAGTAGAGAATATCCTTTAAGTGAAAAATAACACTAAAAGGCTGGATTTAAGAACACATTAATAAAACACAAAATATTATACTCAACACTTATTACGTTACCTGTTCAAAATTAGCAGGAAGATGACGTCCAAGTCTCAATATTAAATACCACCAGACTTCTAGTTTTGTTAGTGCTAGAGCTTCTGTTCTCACGTGGATGGAACTCAAAGGCTGCATTAACAACTTTAGTCTTTTCGCACTACATAGTATTTCTTAAAAGAAAATGAAATAAGCACCCAGGTAAAAACATTTAAAAGCAAAAGATTAAACTTTAAGAATGAGTATGCAAGTCTTTTTTTTTTACCATAGCAAGCGAGTAACTTTTAAAAAAAATTTTTTAATCAACAGCCGCTCCTGTTTCACCCTAAATTTTCATCTGACAAACGAACTGCAGTACATCTAGACCAGAACACTTAAGAAGGCAATCAAAAAAGGAGCAAGTGCTATTTATTAAATACTGTGTGCAAGGGGTGATTTTGCCATCAAGGGACATTAGGCAATGTCTAAAATATTTTGGGTTGTCACAACTTGAGAGGCCAGAGTGTGGAGAATGCTCCTGGCATCTAGGTGAGGTGCATTCAGAAATGATGCTAAACTTTCTACAATATACAGCAGTCCTCCACAACAAACTGTCTAGCTCAATATTCCAAAACGTTGAGAAGCTGTCCAAACTGCTTTGGTATTCTTATTATCCCCATTTTACAGGAATATTTTTTATATTCTGTCAAAAACTGTTATTTTTAAATTTTGCTAATTTATTTTATCAAGCATTATAACTCTTATTGTCATTAGATTTTGGACACCTAAAGCTACAATAATAATCAGATTACTAAAATTCAGTATAAAATTAAATCCAATTCTTTAAACAAAATATTTACATCAGAAGTGTATAGTGTGTGAGTGTGACTGGGAATACATAAAAAAGTCTGTGATCAAGTAACTTAACAAAAAGACTTAAAAAGGGCTTTGAAATATCTGTCAAGCCATGTATTTGGTGAGATGACACTCATCAATGTTTTTTACAACTATTTTGCCATTTAGTTTTCAATTAACTTCTCTATAATAAGAAAATAAAGTCAGAGCTCTGTGAGAACAAATCCTGTAAGTACTCAAGAGGGCAGTTCAACAATAAAATCCCTATAGCAGAGATTGCCAACTGCTATACCATAATCCATTTTCTTTTAGTTACAAGACCTGCTTTCACTCATGACAATGAGTGCCCAATTTTGATTTCATCTAGTCTCCTGTTTAGCCATTTCTAGCCAATGAGATTTAAGTGGCAATGTATGAGGAATTTCTACAATTCTCATTATAGATAGCCAGCTCAACTGAGTTCATTTCTACTCTCTGCCTTCCCTCTTTCCTGTAGTCTACAACGAAGGCACGCTGTAGATGACAGAATAGAAAGCCAGGCACTTGATTCCTCAATGACTGCCTAGATCTATACCAGTCATAGACTTTCTAGCTCTGGACTTACTTTAGCTTCTTTAAGTCACTCCTATTTTATGCTATAACACTCAACCATATATAATGCCAACAGATTTAGTCCTGAACATTAATAAGCTCATGCTGATAGTTCCTAAGCAACATCAAAAAGTGATGTTTCCAATTCTAACTGGTGCCTAGAAATGCACTTTTACCAATATGTTCAATAAAAGTAATTATAGTTAATGTAAATAATCACCTTATAAGTCACCTTTTATAAAATAAAAGGAAAGGATTAAGTCTTTGGTAGGAAAAAAATAGGAGAAAAAAAAAAAAATCAATCTACTTGATTATACCTATGATTAATTACCCAGTTAGACAGGTATACATACTGACCATTTTTGGGCTAAATATTCTTCTTCATGTATATATCAAACACCTTCACTGGGATAACAGGATGTTGAGGTTAAGGAAAGTCAAAAGGAATCATTTATATATATTAATGTTAACCTACTATTAGGTACAGTTCTAAAGGTCCCGAAAGACCAAAATTCATCAGTCACTGATATGTTCATTCACTCCATAACAATCACACTGGTTTCCTAACATCTATTGGCCATGTGACCTTTGATAAATGACTTAATCTCTCCAAAATAGTAGCAATACTTAGTATCTCAAGTCCATTGTGATGAGTAAATGAGATAGGTGAAGTGCTCAACTAAGTGTTGGCATGTACTAAGAAAGCCACAAATGGCATCCTGTCACTTTTTGAACATTAATATTCAAAATTTTTAAATATTACTTACCAGGATTTAATGCAAAATTATCTATTAAACTCTTCCAAGCAATAAAAGCTATTTTTTTAATTATGGGTGCTCCACTACGAAATCCCAGTTCTTCCAACTGTAATAGAGAATTAATGAAACTCCCACTTCGATGTAAGGTCTAAAAAGGAAAAATCATTAAGTTATTTTAATACTTCAAACAATACAAAAGGCACTAGTATCATTCACTAGTCTAATTCATTCAGTTTGAGCTATGTAAAAGTCTTAAGAATTAAAAATTTTTAAAGTACCAATTTCTGTATGCATATTCAGAATTCAAGATCACAAAATATAAAGCTCCGTGAAGCAAATAATACATAAAGCATTTCTAAAACATTAGACAAAATTAGAAAGGTAAGATAAATACCAAATTTTACCAATATAATACCAAAAAGGGAATACCTATATGAAAAAAATACAATATTAAAGAAAAAATAAGAAATGTTAAACCCTGAAACTAATAAAAAATCTTTTGAAATATAGTAAATAAAATAGGCAAGAAAAACAATTAAGGACAAGTAAACATGCATCCTAAAAAATACACAAAAAGATAAAATATTAACAGTCATAGGTGGCTATAAACCATATATAATCTAAACAGAATATAAACAATAACAGGAAAAAACTGTTTTTAAAATCACAAGGAATTCTTAAGAAAGCTCCTAGAGCTAATGAAATTAATTCAACAATGTCTGAGTACAAGATCAACACCTGAAAATCATGCCCAGCTGGGTGTGGCTCAACGGTTGAGCATCTACCTAGGACCCAGGAAATTTCGGTTTGAATCCCAGTCAGGGTGCATGCCCAAATTTGGGCTTGATCCCCAGTTGGGGGCGAGCAGGAGGCAGCCAATCAATGACTCTCATCATTGATGTTTCTCTCTCCCTCTCCCTTAAATCAATAAAGATGTATTTACAAAAAACAAAACAAACCAAAAAAAAACCACACCTGAAAATCAGTTATATTTCAGCAACAATCTGACAAGGAAGCTAGCTAGGAAAGCAATTTCATTTACAATAGCACCTAAAAGAATTAAAGACTTTTTAGAAATAAATCTAATCAAGAAAGTGAATGAGTTGCACACTAAAAGCTACAAAGCATTGCAGAAATTTAAAGACACTTAATATTTACTATCATTAAAATATCAATACTACCCAAAGCAATCTACAGATTTAACTCAATCTCCATCAAAATTCCAACTTCCTTTTTCACAGGGGGGGAAAAAAATCCAATCCTCAGATTCAATATGGAATTGCAAAAACCCTCAAATAGCCAAAACAATTCTGAAAAATAAAGCTGGAGGACTTTGCACTTCCTTGACTCCTACACTACTACAAAACTACAGTAATTAAAACTTATAGTGACATAAGAACACAGAATAAAACAGAAGTCCCCAAATAAATCCTTCCATATACTGTCAATTGACATTTTACAAATGTGTCTAGACCTTTCAATAAGAAAAAGTCTATTCAGCAAATGGCGCTGAGAAAAATGAAATATCCACATGCAAAACTGAAGCTGGACCCCTGCCTTATATACAAAAATAAATTCAAAATGGATCAAAGATGAAAACATACAAACCAAAACTATAAAGCTCCTAGAAGGAAAAGATTAATGTACTGATTTGGCAACAACTTCATGAATATGACACCAAAAGCACAGAAAACAAAATAAAAAGGTTATCTATTTACCTAATTTATATGTACTTCATCAAGTTTAGTTTTTATTCATCAAAGGATACTATCAAGAAAGCAAAGACAACCAACAGAATGGGGAAAAATATTTGCAAATCATATGTCTGATAAGGAATCAATATCCAGAATAAAGAACTACAACTTAACAACAAAAACCAAACCACCCAATTTAAAAATGCACAAAGCTCGGGTTACAGGACAGCACAGGAAATACAGTCAATGATACTGTAGTAACTATGTATGGTGCCAGGTGGGTACTTGAGACACCAAGGGAGGCAAAATCACAATGTAAAACATGGTTTTATCAGTTTTAACTAATACAAAATAATATTGAATGTAAACTATAATGACAAAATTAAAATAGTAAGTACTACTTTCATAGCAAAACCTAGAAAAAGTGAATTAGAAATTTAAGAAAATAATAACAAGACAAAAATAAAGGCTTTCGTGTTGTGTGAGTTGTGTGGAGTCAGCTCCTGGATCTCTGAGATCCAAAAAATTTAGGGCTTCTTTACCAAACAATCGGGCAGCCATCACCATGCCACAAAACAATATACTGAGCTACTACCATAAACACTATGGGTAACACTGGGATTATTATGAGAAGTTGAGGGGCTCATAAATGCTCAAAAACATGACTGGTCTGAGGGCTAAGCTCTAAGATAAATAGGACCACATAAAGAAAAGAAAGAGCCCAGCTGGTGTGGTTTAGTGGATTGAGCATTGTCCCATGCATCAAGCGGCCAACATTCGATTCCAAGTTCAGAGCACATGCCCGGGTTTCGAGCTTGATCCCCAGTAGGAAATCGTGCAGGAGGTAGCTGACAGATGTGACCCTTTTCGATGATTCTCTCTCTCTGTCTCTCCCCCCTCCAACTCTAAAAAAAATTTTTAAAAAATCAATGATTAAAAAACAGAAATTGCAGCTACTTTCCCATTTCAATTTGAAAACTTAAAAAAAAAGAAAAAACTATAAGATGCATAAAAAGAGAAACACAAAACAAAAGAATGATGAAAAGACTCCATAGGAAATAGTACCTGCCATTCTGCTGGACACAGAGAACAGTCCCAAGGTTATTTTGAGTACTATCAAATAAAAACGAAAGAAAGGAGAACCCTCTGCCCAAGGTTCATAGCCATGGAGACGCACAAATATTGTTATTTGAACAGGAAACAGACAGGAAAATGCATGAAAGAAGTTGGTTATTAAAAGCTGCTGAAAACGGCTTTATCTAAAACCCATCTAAATATGAAAGATTCCTTAAGCCAATGGACTTACATTTCAGTAAGGCCGTGTAATTCGTAACTGAAAGTCATCTTTTGCTTGTCAATACATAGTGTACAGGAAAATCCCTCATCCCCACTATAAAAAACTAAGGGTATTACTACCAATACTGTCATTGAGGTGAATGTGGGCAAGTTAGGCCTTCTGACACAAGGAAGCAAGGTTATTTAGGGGAAATATGCTTAAGTTACTAACAATCCTGAAAACAATGGATGGATGCATAAAGACAGTCTTATTGGCTTGTCAGCTGTTTCAAACAAGAAACTCCTTGTAATTACTGAAGACTACAATCCAGCCAGGAAAACCACCATTACTATGTGTCTGAATACTACCCAAGTCTTCCATGTCCAGAATCAAGAGAACTACTTATCACATTGCAAAGAAACATTAAAATGGCCCAGTTTTACAAAAAACAAACATTTTCCTGGAATGGCTATAGCCAAAAGCGGGAAAGTGGCAAGTTCTAACAAGGATGTGGAGAAATGTGAATGCTCGTGCATTATTGGTAGGAGGGTACAATGATGCAGCCACTAGAGTTTGCAGGTTTCTCTATAAAGCAATGGAATTGTAGTATGTGCTACAATATGGCTTGACCTTGAAAAAAATGAGGCTTACTTAGTGAAATAATACACAGAAGGGCAAATAGTGTACAATTGCACTTATATTGAGTACCTAGAATTAGCAAATCCATAGAGACAGAATGTAGAAGTTACCAGGGGCTGGAAGGAAAGGATAAGAGGGAATAATTGCTTAACATGTAGAGTCTGTGTTGGGGATAATAAAGTTTTGGGTATAAATAGTGATTTTTACACAACCTGTGAATGTATTTAATGCCACTGAACTATATAGCACTTAGGATGGTTATAAGTACTATATTTATTTATCACAATAAAGAAAAACACGCCCCCTTCTCTCAAGAAAACCAGGCTTACAGAAAGAACATAGTCAAGTCTCATTATTCACCATAGTAATCATCTTGAACACTGTATTAAGGAACACTGAGCCATCACTCCTAGTAAAAATGCAGAGTTAGGTTCCTGGGAGCCTCTGGTAACATTTGCATTAACCAATCAATACACAACTTTGTTTTATGTTTAGTTTTTAAAAGACACCTTATTAAACAGTCATGCACTGCTTAACAACAGGGATATGTTCTGAGAAATACACCAGGCAATTCTGTTGTTGCGCAAACATCAGAGTATACTTACACAAACCTAGATGGTATAGCCTACTGCACACCTAGGCTATATAGTATAGTCAGCTTCTTGGCTACATACCTGCACAGCGTGCTACTGTACAAAACATGAGGTTAAATCAAGCACAGGAAAAAAATGATGCAATCAAGAGATGAGGTAAGCCCTAGATGTATGAGGTTGCTGCAAGGGTAACACAGTACAGTATTTTACAGCAAAGTTTTTGTTAACAGGTAGAAAGAGTACACTCTAAAATTGTGAAATATAGGACAGTAAATATATTAGCCAGTAAGTCATTTGTTACCATTATCAAATATTACATCCCGTACATAATTGTATGTGATATACTTTTAAGCAACTGACAATGCAGGTTTGTTTACACCAGCACCACCACGAACATGTGATATCACTAGGCAACAGGAATTCTCAGCTCCATTACAATCTTATGGGACCACCATTGTATATGCAGTCTGCTGTTGACCTAAACACTATTAGGCAGTGCACAACTGTGTATCGCTAATTCACTAACACTGAACTCATTGCCAACAGTATTATAACTCAGGTCTGAACAGAGCTTATCTGACACCCATACTTTCTCCATGGGACTTATCAGCCTTCTTATACTTAGGAACCATAGGCAGCCCTTCAACACTATGCTTGGGGGCCATTAAACAATGCAATCATCACGAAAAAGCACAAAATGCGAAAAATGTGGCACTACATGGGTCATGAAAAGGACATTTGTTTAAAGGATATAAAAAGCTCAAGCAAAATAGAGAGCATAACCTTATTCATGGTCAGCTGGGAACAAATGCACTGGGGGACAATTTTTTTTTGCCACCCAGCACATCTGTTATACACGCTGGTAGTTAAGTTTAGGAAATTATACAGCACAAGTACTGATGTTGGGTTTACATATAAATTTTAGTGAGCAGGTAAATTTGCATATATGGTAAATGAATAATAAGGATCGACTGACTATACTATGTAAATAAAGTTAAGAAATGAATGCCTGGCCAGGAATGGCTCAGGGGTTGAGCATCGACCTAGGATCCAGGCAATCGGGGTTCAATTCCCCATCTGGGCACGTGCCCGGGTTGCAGGCTCGATCCCCAGTTGGGGTATGCAGGAGGCAGCCGATCAATGACTCTCTCATTGTTGATGTTTCTCTCTCTCTCTCCCTCTCCTTTCCCCTCTCTGAAATCAATAAAGATATATTAAAAGAAAAAAGAAAGAAATGAAAAGCTGTGACATGTAAAACTGAACTATTCTTTAGATGTGGACTTACCTTCCCAAGAAGTTTGACAAACAAAGGCCATAATTTTAAAACATAAGTCTCATTTTTACTCATAAATAGCTTGTGGAGTTCTGAAAGTAATTTCTGCAAACAAAAGCAAAAATATTTACCAGAAGGACTCTTGGAAAGAAAAAAATATGCAGTATCAAATTGGCTGATTGTCTCAGCCAAATAACTTTACCCAGTTTTATCAGGAAAACTTTTATAGCAAAGCTGAGAGTTTTATAATAAATGTCCAAATATAAATAATCATTAACATTTTACTATGCTTTTCTAATCACAATCTGGCAATTCTTGCATCCATTAACACAGCTTAATTTTTTCTACCAATATTCTTTTCCCTAAAAACTTCACCATTTATATTATTAATTAGAGTTCAAATGACAATGTTTTAACTCCTCACTTTGATAACTGTAAAAATATATTAATGGCTTCATGGATAACTGACTGAGAAAATTTTAGTTCAAATTTATAAAGAATTTTAAACATGCTCTTAAAAATTAATAAACTTATCAGAATAAAAAACTTGCAAAGACAAGGGAGATACTTCATTTGACTCCGAACACTACCATGAAATAACTTAAAAATGAACAAAACTGCCAGGTCTTAGAATCTGGAAACCTCCCTCACTGTCTGGATTACTGCAGTATGTCCTAACTAGTTTCCCTGCTCCTACCCAATCCCCTTTAGCGTGTATTCTCAACAGAGGCAGAGAGATCCCTTTAAAACCCAAGTCAGTACGTATACCACTCCTAGACTCAAAACCTTCAAATACGGTTTTCTGTAGAACCCAGTCTTACAATGACCCCCAATGTGATTTGGCTCTCTGTTTCTCTGAAATCATCTCCTACTCCTCACCCTCATGAACTTCGCTTATACTGCCCCAGAGTTCGCTGAACACAACCATCAGAGCAGGGCCATTTGCTGTCATGGTTCCTCCAAAAAGCTATCTCCTGTACCACCTTCAAATCACTGTTCAAATACCAGTTTTTTTCTTCCCTGATACTTCACCCTTCCTCTCCAATGACACTCTCATCTAGTCCCTGCTGTTCTCCACAATGTTCTTCACTTAATCTACTACATGCTTTATATCTCTACCACTAGAAAATAAGCTCCAGAAGTTCCTTTTGTTCACTGGTATATTCAGTGTCTAAAACACCCAGCATATAATAGGTGTTCAAGAAATACATGTTTCAAGAACAAAGTTTGAAAAACCTAAAACCTGGGGGAAAAAATAATAACTTTAGGAAATTTTACACAGTTGATGCACTTATGTGCATTAAATTTATATCCATTGGGATTATGCTACAACCACCCAAATAACACTGAAATCAGTATTTCCCTTTCCCAGAAATGCAATCCCTTTCAATCACCATTCACTAGGGATGGAGTAAAATGCCTGGATCATAGTAACACTGAATAGACAGTTCCCTTCCTTACTGTAGTGTAGGAGCAGTATGCCTACACTAACTTAAGCAATTCTTTGTTTTAATTCAAAGAGGAATTGCCTAGATCACAGTACAATTATACCAATATGAGCCCTAAGCAGAACCTTACAATGCAGTATTCAAAAAATCCTGATACACACACAAAAAAATCCTGATAGAAAGTAATACTTACGGTAGTCATAAGCTGCTCTGTGATAGAGGCTATTTCTTGTTGTTTCTGAAGCAACAACGGCATTCCCATCTCTAGAGCAGTCGCTCCCCGCAAATGTACCTTTTGGGCTGAATGAACAACTAAAGGTATGACCAGTTTTGCCCATCTAATTGACTCTTCTCCCATTTGAACTGGGGCTTGTTCAATTAGCCTGTAATAGAGAAATCAATTAATAAATTATTTTGGCCTCACCCTTTACATCTAAACTACCAGGAAAATAAGCAGCAGATGAAGAAATAAGCACAGTATGGTCCATTCATTGTAGAATATGTACATATATGTACACACACAAAAAAGATCTAATTTTTACTGGCTAACTTTTAGATTTCTGTATTATTATAAGTTTTTAAAATAAGAACAACACACTTTGTCTTTTAAAATTTTTTAAATACTAATTATTTTTATACAATTAAATTCAATATTTTTATAGGACAACCAGAGAACTGTGATATAATGTGAGCATCAATCAGGGCATCAGAACACTAAGTAGTTAGAGCAAACAGCTCAACTACTAAAGAAAACTTTAAAACAAAGGTAATACAAAGCATATCAATGAAGAGCGTGCTGATAGCATGCCCACTAAAAAGAGCAGGGATGGGAAGGAAGAAAGTAAGAGATTTTCTTGTTCTGCCACCTCCTGCTAGGCACTGCTAATGACATCCTAAACTATAACTCACTTGGGAGTCTATACTACTTTTCAAACTCCTGCAAAAGCTTTAACAGGAATAATTTTTAAACCCAGAATTGTGTTAGCAGCAGCAGCCTAACCAAGACTTTATTTTTAAGACTATCTCGGTAAAAATAAACAAAGGCATACTAACTTAAACACATCTAGTTCCTTTCCTTCCTGTTACTTTTTCTTGAGACTTTGTCTAGAAGACATTTCCCTCTTTTAATGTCTAACTCATAATCAAGCCCCAAAAGTCCACTCCTAAAAGTAAATTCTAAATTTCCTAAAACTATTCTTCCAATTTGCAGAGCATCCAAATTCATACCTTATGATGACATTTAATGCTTCATAATCAACAACAGCAGAATGCATCTCTCCTCTATTAAACACTATTTCTAGTGAATCAATTATACTGGGTACCTAAAAGACAAAACAAAATAAATACAAACCAAGTAAGCCTGAATTTTTTAAATGGCATGTAGCTAAGAAGACATATAAAAACTATACTCACTACTTTGCCAATAACTTCAGTGGGAAACGTCTGCTTGGATAGCACCCAAAGTGCCCTAGCACGTACATTTTTGTCTGAACTCTTAACAATATCATTCAATTTTGAAAGCAGTTCTTGCATACTTTCCTCTGAAAAACAAGCAGCTTTCATTATGTGCAATAGTTTACATCCTTTAAAACGTCAAATACAAAAATAGAAAAAAAATTAAATGCATATCCAAGAGAAGGACCAGAAACCAATAGCGATAGTAAACTGCTTCCCATAACACAAAAATAGGTAAGATGGTTTATTTAGAAAACAGTAGACTCTAGATCAGATATTCTGAGCAATTAAAATAATTTTATAGGTATCATCAGTAGGTTTGAACATACAACATAATTTTTGGCAAGATGTTATGAACCCTACACCTCTGCCTCAAAATGAACTACTTCAGATTGCTAACATTTCTATACAGGGTGGGGCAAAAGTAGGTTTACAGTTGTGACTGTGAAACAGTTTATTCTTGTATTATTTATTATTATATTATTTTCCATGCAAACGATTGTAAACCTACTTTTGATCCACCCTGTATATTAAAAAGAGCAGAGACTTTTCCCTCAGAAAAAAAGATAACTTTATGACTTTAGTCCCTAATTCCTTGTTTCCCTTCTCTAAAATTATCTCCTAGGTTTCCTTAACCATGTCAAACTGCTACCTTTACGGTAACAAGATTAGTTGAAAACATAGAAAGCATCAGTCTTATGTTTTCATTACCACTTTTAGTTCCAAATTATCCCACTTACCACTATGTAAAAACTTTTCAATTCAACATATTCCTTAGTGTATATGCTTATACAAAAGAGAAGACCAACTAAATTAACTTTTAAAGCAGATAAGCGTTTACAAAGGAGAGTTCAGGTTTCATAGCAATTATTTATAAATAAGCTTATTTTCTTTTAGAGCAAATTTTATAATTATCTAAGAACTATGTCTAAAGGAAAAAAAACTTTCCGATGATAATCTAAACTATGTTATGAGCCCTGGACAGTGTGGCTCAGTTGGTTGAGCACTGTCCCATGCACCAAAAGGTCACTGGTTTGAGTCCCAGTCAGGGCACATACCCAGAATGCGGGTTAGATTCCCCGGCCAGGCTGCACATATGAGGCAACCGATCCATGTTTCTCACATAAATGTTTCTCTCACCCTTCCTCTCTAAAACAAACAAACAAAAAAAATTAAAAAAAATTTTTAAAAACTAAAAACTATGTTATGAATCTAACAGAGGTTAACAATACTTTTCACAACATCAGAGTATATACTTATAAACTCTTAAAATATTAAGTCTTAATAAATTTAACTACCTGATAATCCTGAGGTAATCTTGGGATTATATAAGCAAAACCCCAAGGCCTGTAGAGCAGCACAACTGAGCTCTGAGTTTTGACTGGAAATGTGAGTCTACAAAATACAAACACACACTTGTTACAAATGAGTACAATTGTGAATCGATATTTAGAGAGCAAAATTTGATTAAAAAGCAAAACTACATTTTAATGGAATCAATCAATAAATCTTTGAAAGCAGATGAAATAAGATCAGGAGCCCATGTATACAGCTTGGCAAAGAAAGAGAGAAACTAGATAAAGATCAACTAAATAAAGAATAGTTTTCTTGGCCCTGGCCCGGTAGCTCAGCTGGTTAGAGCACTGTCCCGATATGCCAAGGCTGTGGGTTCGACCTCCAGTCAGGGCACATACAAGAAGCAACCAATGAATGCATAAATAAGTGGAACAAATCGATGTCTCTCCTTTCTTTCCTCTGTGGAACATCACTTTGTTCCACAAAGGGTAAGCAAAAGCTGACATCCTTGCATTACCATGGAATGACACCTCTAAAACAAGGGTAAGGGTGTGGAATGAAGCATTTACTGAGTATCTGAAGTGCTAGGAGCTTTAAACATTATCTCAATCTTTTTAAAAACATCCCTACTTCACAGACAGAATTTGAATCTATGTCCATCTGGAATTCAAAGCCCAACCCATATTATGTATGTAAAAGCTATAAAATCCCAAGCTTGTAAAATACAGGGTGTTCCCCCCAAAATGTATACACTTTAACTTCGGATAGCTCACCTGATGTTTCAGATTTAACCCATTAGAATTAATAATGGGTTAAGTGTATACATTTTTGGGGACATCCTGTATATCCCCCAACGCTATGTTACCTGAAACCCTGTGTTTTTCCTATTCCAAACTGATTTATGTTCAAATCCCTCTATTTCTCTGAATCAGATATCCAAGGAGACTTCTGATATTTGTTACTCTTGAGCAGGAAGAATAAATGTTAGTAGCAAATATATGAACAGGGACTTCCCTGGGACATCTTTTATAATTAATCAAACCAAACACAATAAAAATCAAACCCTGGGGCATAAGGGATATTAAAGAAATTTATTCAAACACAAATAGATGAAGTCTTATACCCTTAAGACTTTGAAAGCTACCACTAGATCTCCTGGATAATAGCTAGCATGTAACTAACCAACTTTAATACATATTGCCTGAAAGATTTCCTTAAGTGCTGTGTCTTGCCTGGCTAATATGACTCAGTGGTTGAGTGTTGACCCAGGAACCAAGAGGTCACCAGTTTGATATCCTATCAGGGCACATGCCTGGGTTGCGGGCTCAATCCCCAGTAGGGGGGCATGCGGAAGGCAGCTGATCGATGATAATTATTTCTCTCTCTCTCTCTCTCCCCGTCTCCCATCCTCTCTAAAAATCAATAAAAACTTTTTTTTTAAGTGGTGTGTCTTATCTTCAAGAATGTTGTGGATTCTTAGAAATAATATTAGCGGAATTCTAAACAGTAACACATTTTGCCTACTATGATTCCTGTTCTAAAGGAATTTACATATCCTTTTAGTGCTTAGTAATTCACACAAAGCTTCTGTTGACTGTCCTATCAGTACATATTGTACTCACCCAGGTGTTTCTAAATATAGTTAAGTTATAAGGGAGTCAAAAGTTGTATGTGGATTTTTCACTGCCAAGGGGGAGAGGGGCGTGGTGCCTCTAACCGGAGTTGTTCAGAGTCAACAGTAATTATTCATTAGGCATTTTAGTTACAAACCCTATTTACAAACTGCAACTTGACTCGAAATGCGTGCAATTGAGTTCCTGACAGTACACGTTGTCAAGTACTAAATATATAAAGATGCATCTTTTTATCACATCAAATACAGTCTTGTGCAGCTTGACAACGGGTATGTTCCAAGAAATGCATCATTAGGCAATTCTGTCACTGTGCAATCATCATAGAGCACACTTACACAAATCTAGATGGTATAGCCTACTGCACACCTACGCTATATGGTATAGCCTGTTGCTTCTAGGCTACAAGCCTGTACAAAACATGAAATTAAATCTAACACAAGAGAAAATGATGCAGTCAAGAGATGTGGTAAGGGATATATGAAGGTGCTGCCAGGGTAACAGCATACTGCTTTACAGTAAACTCTTTCTATTAAGTAGAAAGAGTACACTAGAAAATAATTATTAAAAAGTATAGTCTAGTAAATACATAAATCAGAAAGTCATTATCAAATATATGTACTGTACATAACTGTATGTGATATACTTTTACAGTACTGGCAGCACAGTAGTTTGTTTATACCAGCATACCACAAACAGGAGAGTAAGACGTTGCGGTTTTTCAGCTCCATTTTAATCTTATGGGACCACTGTAGTATACTGGGCTGGTCCAAGTTGTTGACCAAATCATTATGCAGAGCATGATTATACTACTGGAATGTGGAACTTGACAAAGAAAAGTGGGACAATAAATAATACCACTAATATTTTATAATAATACTATTAATGTCTTAAACTAATTGCTAAAGCAAGCTCCTGCTTACATGAAAAAAAGGCACTGATCACTGTAACAGGATACGTAAGTAGACAGAACCTAAAAGGCCTCAACATTTAGCCAGAAATCAAGCTAAAATGTACAAGGAATATTTTGATGGAATACTTCTATTTAAAAACACAAAAACAAGATCATAAAAACGAGAACGCAATGGGACTTTGGAGATTGAGTTCAACCTCTTAATTCTAAAAACAAGAAAATTCAAAGTTAAGTGTTAAAGGAGGTCACAAAGCCACAGTGTACTCAAGTGAGGACAGGAACATAGGTCTTCAAGTTTGAGGTTAAACTACATCACAAACCTATAAACAAGCAGTACAGATAACCTTAATAAAGGTTTTTAACCAAGCAAGAGTAGCAAAAACTAAGGGCATGTGACCATAAATAAAAACACCAAAACCAAAATTATAGAATCATTACTTAGGAGTACATTCCTACAAAAAGGAGATAAGACAGATTAAATAATCTGCTGATTACTGCTCTTAAATTAAGAGTTAAGGTTTTGGATTCAAATGGTCTTGGGCAACTTTAGGCAAATTAAATCAATCTTCTGCAAAGTGGGGACTAAAGAGTAATTTCATTGGGACCTGTTAGGTGAGAGAAAACTATAAAGTAATTGAGAGTACTATGATCTGCTTTTATTTAAATTCAAAGTTTTTATGAGTAAACTGGTAAAACTTTTCCCCACAAATAAAATATTACTTAATACGCAGCAGAAACACATACCTTTAAAACTTCATATAGCTGAGGAAGTTTTTTCTCAATTTCTATAATGACTTCTTTTCCATCTTCTCCAGTAATACGGCTTAAAAGCAGAGATAAAGTTTATGTTAGAATTCTGGCAAATTAACTTGACCTAGTGCTTAAAATACAGAAGTACAGAATTCAACATACAGCTGAAGCAAATTAAAAAATCCTCAGAATTCCTTTCCCACCCAGTATACAAATTCCGACAGTTTTACTACGGGAAGAGGAAACTGAGAAACCTATCCCCTTAGCAACAAATTTACTATATCATTTTATTCCAGTGGTTATCCTCTCTCAATTTCCCCAGTCACTACAGAAAATTCAGTGATTTTTCTGGGGGGGGAGAAGAAATATTACGAAGCATTTGCAATTAAAACAAAACTCGAGTTCCTGCTCTCGATTAAAAAACCAATTCTGGGTGGCCACCCCGTCCCAACACGGACGCGACTTACCCCGAAACCCACTCCTCCAGCGTGCCCACTTCCAAAGCAACTTTTTTTACATTCTTAGACGGCAAGACGCGGGAGCGGACTTCCTCATTCCCCACACCCCCCGCAGGCGAGGC